GGGGGGGGGGGGGGGGGAGCTGGGAGTAATACATACCAGTAGAGAGATGAAAGAAGAAATCCAGACAAGAGAGGAAGTGCCAAAGAAGGAATCAGCAAGAACAGCAGCAATCACAGGAACAAAATTGACAGAGCCATTCATAACATTGGAAACTTGAGCTGCGTCAATGCTATTCATTCCAAATTCCTCAATTAGATACACTGTCAGGTTGCTCATCCAACCTGCTGCTGCTATGTTCAACCCCGCCGTTGTTGCTGCAATTGTTGATAACATAATAGCTTATGCTTATAGATGAGACGGTGAGACAATTCAACAGCAATTGAGCTCAATATATATATATATAAAGTTACATATACACATTATGTTGTAAGAAATGAGAAAGAGCACCTATTGTAAAAGGGAAAGTGATCCAGCCTCCTCGTTTTCCATGTCCAGCGGCAGAGCTCATCAATTGTGCCTCTCCATCGATCATCGAAGCTGAACTTTCCATAAGTAAGCTCTCTCTATGTACTAATATGGATACCGATAGCTTCCTATAAATAGAACTTCCAAGACAGAGGCGAAGATCTCATCTAATTTAATGGGTTTATTATTTGTACATATTTAATAATATTTTAGGAAAAATATATAGCGTAGGAGCAAAAGTTATGAGTTTAGCTTCTACACTTCATACGCCTTTATTTCAAGATAATTTGAAAATCGGAGTTGCAGCCACAATTTCAACTTTATATGTTTTGAACTTCAAAACGACGATTTTAAGCTACTAACTGAGTTTTAAAATTATTATATTTGTACATATTTGATAAATTTCTTAATACAAATATATTATTTGAATAAAAAACTATTGAATTCCCCGAACTCGCATTTATACTTTTAGCTCCGTCCCTGCTTGAATGCCCTGTTTTTTCTTAAGGATCTTCCATCTCAAGTAATCTATATATAAAAAATTGAGGGACTTGAAGAGGTGACATGGCACATTCTATGAACATGAAGGTAATTTATCTTTTTTTTTCTCAAAATTTAGCTATTTTCTTTATTCTTCCATTTACTTTATTATTTAAGAAAAAAATCCAAAAATCATAACTTTTCCTATCTTTACGTATTAACACTTTCAACGTAACGTACAGTTGTATTGTTTTTACTAGGGGTGATCATGGTCCGGTTTGGATCGGGTTTTTTCCTAAAAAGAAACCAAACTAAGTAAGTCGGTTTTTCAAATATTAGAACCAAACCAAACCAATTAAGTCGGTTTTTTCTCGATTCGGTTTATGTCGGGTTTATGTCGGGTTTTTTCGGTTTTTTCGGTTATTTGTCGGTTTTTTCTTAAATATAAGACAAACACTACCAAACACATATTCCGGCGACCATATTTTCAACATAACACTATCAAATCAATTGCCCTTTGAGAAATCTATTATTTACTAAAATATATTGATGATAATTGAATCAAATAGTGATGAATAATTTAAGGACTCAATTAAAAATATATTTTTTTTAACATGAAATGGTTTCTTATACTTAACAAAAGAAAACTACCAATCAAACTAGAATATAAAGGTAAAGAACTGTACTAAAAGTGTAAACGATTAACATTCACTATATATATATATATATATAATATATATATATATATATATATATATATATATATATATATATATATATATATATATATAATATATATATATATATATTATATATATATAGGTGTAATAATAAATTTGAAATAGCTACTCCTATAGTCGGTTTGGTTCGGTTTTTTTCAGTTATTTTTTGGTTAAAATCAAAACCAAACCAAATTTGATCGGTTTTTAAAATTCAAAACCAAAAAACCAAACCAAAACCAAAAAGTGTCTGTTTTTTCGGTCGGTTTGGTTTGGTTTTCGGTTTTGTTCGGTTTTTCGGATTTTTATGAACACCCCTAAGTATTACCTTCAGTCCGCTAATCACCCGCTACCGGGTGAACAATACCTGCAACTGCACGCGAGGTGCAGGGAGTAAAGTGAGTACTTCACAACTCAGTGGTAATAAGAGTAAATAATAACTGAGAGGCAAGAAATCACGTAAGAGCACTCCATCATGCTATATAGGACAGTACAACCCTTTTTAGAAAACAGTAAGACCGTGAAAACCCTTTAGAAAATATCTGGCTCAGTTTAAAAAACCTCTTTTGAAAATATCCTTTTCCAACAGTCAAGCATATGAATGCGTTATCAAATAGTGCAAGTCCGCACATAAGTTAGCCCCTCAGGCACAACACTCTATTAACAAATAACACCAGGGTATCTGGTATGCAGTGCAAGAACAGCATGGATGCCAATGATATGAGAGTGCTGAATGTCATGCCACGTAGTCACAACAGGAAACAATGCATGAATGCAATGCAATGCACATGACCGCTGCGGCGCGCAGCCCGATCTATTTGGGTACCCGCGCTCACTGGGGGTGTGTACAGACTTCGGAGGGGCTCCTACAGCCCAAGCGCAATATCATCATAGCATCGCTGCGGCGTGCAGCCCGATCCATCCTCAGTCCAGAACATGCAAATGAGCCACTCGGGCAATGTCAAGTAATAGCTTTTAACTCAGAACATCAGAAAAATGCAATTTAAGTCTTTAAACTTTAGCAATATGACTGCACATTTCAAAACAGGGTTTAACTCAGGACTGAAATCATTTCATATGATAAGTGTCATGAAAACAGTGATAATAACCCCTACAGGGTTCAAATAACCGGCACGAAACCCAAAACATGGCAATCAGCCCAATTCAAGATAGCATCTAGCAAGTTTCAGTCAATTACGCAGTAAAATCCACAACCGGGACGGACCAAGTCACAATCCCCAACGGTGCTCTACCCCACGCTCATACCTGGCGTGCAAGTCACCACAATCCAGCACTATGATGTGCAAATCCGGGGTTTCAAACCCTCAGGATATCATTTACAAGTATTACTCACTCGAACCGGTGAAATCTCTGGCTCGCGACGCCTTTGCCCTTCAAATTGATCTCCACGTGCGTCAAATCTATCAAAATCACACAAACATCGATGAAGCTCGATTTCTAAAAGACGGGGTTTTAGCCATACATATCTGAAATTCGCCCCTTAAATGATACTACAATGATCCAATACAGTTATGTAACTTTAATCTACAATACAACATTCAATAGGGCCAATATTAGTAATAAATTCCATAACTTATGCCATTTAGGCATATTATCAAACAGTTTGTAGGCATAGATATTTACACCTCATAACTATAGTATTGGTTCCTCCAACTATCATCATTAACCAACAATTCATCTCATCATCATTCCTAACCAATTTATAACTTCCAACTACACATGGATGACCATCCATTCACACCCAACCAACAAATCCTATCAAATATCCACCTTTCAATCTCTACAATAACTATGTATTTATTTTGGGAATTTATGACTTCCAATCACCATACCATAAGTTGTAATACTTGATTCATACTCATATTCCCATAATATATCCATATATGTAAGTTTGAGGTGTAGGATTTAACCTTTTGGAAGAAATCTTGCAAAACCCTCCTTTGAGTTCTTGAAGAAATTTCTTGAAAATGTAAGTGTTTTTATGAGAGGATTCATCAATAATAGTATATGAATGATGGAATTTCACACCAAGATAATGGAGATTGCTTACCTTGAAGATTGGGGGAGTTGAAGGTCTTGAGAGGGTGGAAGAAAACCTCAAAGTTCGTCCATAAATGGGTAAGAATGAACCCCGAAATGAGTATTATAGGCTGTTTCGGGCGCCACAGGTGGCGCTGGGCGATGCCTGTGGCGCTGGATCCAGTAGCTCAAAATTTTGGGCGCCACGGCTAGCGCCCAGCGCTACACAGGGCGCTGACGACACAAAAATAGCCATAACTTTCTATATAAACCTCCAAATGATGAACGGTTTATTGCGTTGAAACTAGACTCAAAGAGCTTTAATTTGATAGGTGGTGCATCACCCAACTCCTTATATAACTGGAGATATGATCGTTTAAAGTGAGGTCTTGTGCGCACTCATTTACAACTTTCGTCTATCATGAAATTTTCCAACTTCAAAAGTTCCCGTTAACCATCCGAAATCACCCCGAGGGCCCCCGGGACCTCAACCAAAAGCATTAACATATCTTATAACGTTATTCAAACTTGGTCCAATTATCAAAACACCACAATTAACACCTAAACCATCAAATTACACCAAATTCAAGCCTAAGTTCATCCAAATCTTCCGAGACACGCATTCGATCAAAAACCCAACCAAAACACCTCCGAATGATCTGAAATTTTGCACACACATCCAAAATCTCCTAACGAAGCTACAAAAATTGTCGGAATTCCATTCCGTCCCTCGGATCAAAATCTCACCTATCAACCGGAATTTTGCCAAATACTAACTTCGCCAAATCAAGCCTATTTCTACACGGGACCTCCAAAATAAATTTCGATCACACTCCTAAGTCACAAATCACCTTCCGGAGCTAACCCAACTACCGGAATTCACATCCGATCCCTCTAACTCATAATCAACTTCCGGTTGACTTTTCTAACTTAAGCCTTCTTAAAAGAGACTAAGTGTCCCATTTCTTATCAAAACCACTCCAAACCAACTCGATCACATAAGATACGGATATGAAGCCTAAAGAAGTCGAAAAATGGGGAAAACGGAGTGTAACTTATGAGACGACGGATCGGGTTGTCACATCCTCCCTAACTTAAACAAACGCTCGTCCTCGAGCGTACCCAGAGTTGTCCTAGAAGCCAACCAATAGCTGAATAACCTTACCATGCATATACCCGGGGGTGATCCCACGTCACCCTATCTCGCATAGGTCGATAACACAACATAGCTGAAATTTCCCAATCCATCTAGTCCACAAACCATCGAACCACATTTCCATTTCCAAAATCATACACAAGGTCAGAACTCACATCTATATTCAGAATAAGCTCGAAACAGCTGTAATAACCGATACCTGCAACCTCTGGTGCAATTACATGATAGACCCACATAAACTCAAACACTTGGTAGGGATAGCTTCTATTACAAGCAGTTGCACACAACACCGTATACCGATAGAAAAACTCTTATTAACTAAAGTCTCATCTCAAACACTTTTATATACTGCCAATGATAAACTAAAATCACGCAGTAAGCCATAACCATTTCCCATATCAACCATTCATGAAGCCACTTCTCCTTTGGCAAATGCTACATCAAATTTTCTGAGCCGAAGCTCGATATTATCCTTCCCAACTGCTAAAGTCGAATCTGTTTCTATTCATTAATATCCTTCTGATCTCTTCTAATCCAACACACTACTCTAGTGACATGAACCACCATTACATGCCTAAGCCACAACTCGCACAGTAGTGACATGACACACCATTACATGCCTAAGCCACAACTCGCACAGTACGCGCGCCAATAAGCAACAGTCCGAGTATACTAAATTCATGAAAATGACTCAAATGAAAGAGCTGTACCACAAGCTCACTAGTACCGCCACAAACACAAGGCTGAGAACCCATCTCACATCATAGAAACAGAACGCCCAATCTAACCGCGAGGTCATACCTCCACATAACTTAGCTGTCATGCGCGACCCTATTCAAACACTAGTTCACCTGAGACACCTCAA